CCCTGGCGGCCTCGAGGAGCGGGACAGCCTATGTGGGGAAACGGCTAAGCGCCCAGGGACACAGTGGGAGGCCCAGGGACGTGCCAGGACCTGAGGAGAGGGGAACCCTGGCCAGCCAAGCGAGGGGGACAGGGCGGCTGGTAATGGCCCGGACCGCAGTGGCTGGGGCTGCGCACGAAAGGAGCCTGCGGCGGTTCCTTCGGGAGAACACCTGGAGACTGAAATGGGGCCGGGCACCTGGGGTATTCAGACATGGGCTTCTGCCGCCTTTCAGCTGGGTTTATGTTGTTTTCATTTTTTGCTGGCCGATGTGTACGTTGGATTTTGCATGCTAACGCGGCTTCTTCTGCGGCCGCGGTGCGCACACGCAAGGTTGTGCGAGCGACTGGAAACCGACCTGAAATGTCCCCTCGGTGGGGCAGGGGCTGCCCACGGTGGAGCCACACTTCACAAAGGTGTAGCGAGGAGAAATGTCCAGGGCAGATAAAATGAAAAGGCGACATGCATAATATTGTGCACAGTGTAATTCATGTTTTAAAGTCCGTGTTTATTTTGTGTAGACAAGGGAAAAAATATCGGAGAACACACATGGTTCTTTGCTTTCTTCTGGGAAGAGGGAGGGAGACCACTTTAGACAAGTCCATATTGTTTAACGCCATGAGTAAGCTACGTAATTCATATGACTGAAATAAAATATATTTCGAAAGTCCTTTAAAAATGTGACTCCCAAATACTGGCCTCTGAAAGTGTGTGTGTGTGTTGGGGGGGGGGAGGGTGCAGGCCCCGCCTTGTCCATCCCAGTTCATGTCATCGGAGGCTGGAAGCTGAAGCGCCTGGAGGCATTGCGCAGACAGCTCTGGTGCTGGATAGAAGCAGAGACTGAAGAGCAGGAGGCAGGAGAATGGTGGCAATCGTTGGCCCAAGCCTATGACCGCAGCCCAAGCCCAAGCCCACGACAGAGGCGATAAGTCCGTGCTGGCGTTGCCAGTGGGAATCACGGAGGGCCGACTTGGGAGGGAGTCCTCACCCCAGAGCCTCCTATCAGGCATCTCTGCTTCCACCTAAAATCCTCTTAAAACTAAAATCAGATCAGATCTCTGTTAAAATCCTTCCAGTGGCTCATTTTATTGGGTCAAAGCCAGGTCCTTTCACGGGCCCATGATCTGCCTCCCTCTGCTCACCTCCTCAGACAGCCCCTCCCACCAGCACGCTCCCTCCCTCCCTGGCTCCATCCGCTGGTGTCCTCGGCTTTCTGCAGACCCCAGGCGCCCTGCCGCCCCAGGGCCTAACACTGGCTGTTCCCTCTGCCTGGAACCCACCTGGTTCAATCACCCCCTTCAAGTCTTTGCTCAAACCTTTAGCTCCTCTATACTCCTGATCCTCCTGCTCAGTTTTCCCCTCATCCCTTACTTTGTAAATCATCATCTTACTTATTTGTGTTTTTGTCTCTCTTCCCTGAGGAGATGACAAGCACCGCAGGGCAGGTGCCCCACTGACACCCTCTGCCCAGAACGCTGCCTGGTCTGCAGCAGGTGCCAGGTAAATGCCTATTAGAAGAGAGAATGGATGAAGGAACTTTCAAGGTGGAGTTCATTAGAGCTGAGCATACACCGGGGAGGCATCCAGAACTGGATCCTGGACAGAGGTTGCTGGAGACGGGGACCTGGGAGTCATGGGCAGATGGGCTGAATCCGTGGGATCTAGGCAGCCCTAGGCTGCCGGCCACGGCTGTCCTCTCACCCTACCACAGGCTCCCTCCAAGGCAGGGTCAAGGGTTGGCCAGAGAACCCCATCGTCTCAGCTTGGAAACCCCTGGACACAGCCACCATGGGAGGATCCGCTACAGGGAGGCTCTCCTTACTTTGCCCACCTCCCCTGCACTGAGTCACGCGGGGAAGCTGCTCCCTAGAGTACATTTGGCATCTCACCTGCTCTCAGTTTCAAAATCCCAGGCTCAGTGAAAGGCCAGTGGTTTTCACCTTGTCACCAGTTAAGCTCTACTGAAAAATTATGGCCATAAAAATCAATAGTGTCCCTGTATGAGCACAACAATTACTTAGAAAATACAAAGTGGGAAAGATCCCGTTCACAGTAGCAGACAAATAGATATGAAATACTGAGAATGAGTTTAACTAAGTGGGGAGCTGTGTGAAGAAAAGTGGAAATCTTTCCTGAGAACACATGTCGGGTTTAAGTGGGTACAGGAACACGGCACCTTCAGAAAGACCTAACGCTGTAAAGTGTTCGGTTCATCTCTGTTAGGGGGCCTCCAAGAGGCTCCGAGAGCCCTGCCTCCTGGCATCATGGCCTTCTGTGGCCCCTCCCACTCCCATAGGGTTGGTCTGTGTGATCAATAGACTATGGCCTGTCCCCTTTGCGATTAGGCAATAAAGACACGTGGGCTTCCCCTTTGGGTTCTCTCTCCTCCCATCACTCTCTCTGGGGAAACCATGTAATGAGGCCCCCATGGCAGGGAACTGAAGCTCCTGCCAACAGGCAGGTGGGTGAGGGTGGCAGGGGCTCTGGGCCGGCGGCTGCAGCCCTGGCCAACAGTTTCACTGAAACCCCACAAGGGACTGAGCCCGAGTCACCCAGCAAGGCTGTTACCATAACCCTCAATATATGTATTGCTAAACTTCCAGGCAATTCGTTAAGCATAAACGCATAAGTAATAAAATATTAAATTGATTTATACATTTAATACAATTTCAAGCCAAATCTGAAAATCAACTGCGAAGTGGGGAAGAGACGTGATAAAATAATCCCCCAGTTAGCCAAGAGAATTAACATGAGAACAGCCAAGAAAATAATGAGGAATGTTGAACTCTACTGTCGGTATTCAAATGTGTAAAATCAAACATTTCAGTTCTGACAC